CAACTCGCGAGAAGAAGGGAGGGAGATATCGTCAATTAGAATTGGTCGAAACTCTAGAGAGGAAGGGAGGGAGAAAGGAAGGACGGCGCGCTGTGTGCTTCGTGCATGACGCTCGCGGACGAACCTAGCTGACCAGCCTGGTGGTGTAAAGGGTCTACCTACACACATTCAGCTGGCATCCATCCATACCACCGGGGACCAAAAACAACCATATCGGATGGGGACAGCTAATCATTCTGCACTTCGGCTGCAAGTCTCCACGCGTCCCATGTGGGACCCATGTGTCGACGACGTAAAAGATATTGCAGGCGCTTCCCTTTTCCTTGGGCTCGCGAGCCCACAATCTTTTCCATGCGCCCCTAGTCGTCATCGGCGGCGTCGGTCGGCTGGGGCAAGTCGACGCTGAACTGGCGGTCGTAAGTATCTTCGGATTGAAGATGGGGTTAAAGATGCTCGACGGAGACAACGGGGAAGAATACCCCATGAAGGTGGAAGAGCGAGTTTGTAATCGTTTGACAGTATGTTGACGACATTAAACAGACCGACCCTCTGACCACCAAACTTATGGAGTCATTTGCTCGGCACGTTATAGCCTTTGTGCAATTTGGCATAGGCCAAATCCCCGATTTCCATTTTGAGAGGAGTATGCTTCGTATCGTTGGGCTCCATGATTAATGCTCCCTCCCATTGGCTAAATTATACAGTTATTGAGCTCGGGCTATCACCGAGTCTACTATATCATCACCTAGTCTCCATTCTCCAGAACGACTACTTGAAGGGCTGTGATCTCATGACTATGAGTGACAGTCACCCTTTCTATGGCTGCCATCCTGGCCTCGAAGTCATTGACCTTGTGCTCTAGTGAGTCCACAGCCCTTCGGTGTTCCTCGAATCTGGCCTTCTGGCTCTTCTCCTCTTCCTATTTTTTCAGATTGAAATAGTGTGTTTTGTGTGCCATCCAGGCGGCATGTGCCCTCACAGAATCCCTGTCATACTATAGACGTATGTAGTCCAGTGCGGGGATGACTCCAAACTGGCTTCCGCACGTTTGCTGAATACTAAGGTTTCAGTGTTAGGTAGTATATGAAGGTATTTTCCCGGTTTGGGATTTGTAACATACTTCCAGACGCCCGTGGGTTACTAGAATGAGAAGAGGCTGTGAACATGTACTGGATAAATAACCCCAGAGCTATATGCCGTTTTGTTTGCCCATCTCGACGGAGAGAAACATCCCTATTCCGATCGTACTTGTAACCAATGCAATACAGATTTCCGCATTGAAGTCTGTGAATATGGTTCTTATTTAGCCCTGGTCCTTACAAAGTTGATTGATCTTGGACATGGTTTGACGTCAGATGACCCTCGATGGAAAGTCCATTGCCGTGAAAATCGTGCTGTGACACTTGACCCAAAGGATTGCACAGGCAGTTCAAGGGTGTCTTTTGAGAATGCGTCGCCTCAGTCGTTGGGAGAATTGTTGTCAAGAAACCTTTCCTATCTCAAGGACCAGCGATACAGGGAGGTTATGCATCAACTTTCTCAATCATATTTTAGTGAGGACTTCTGGTACTTACCAAATCCACCAAGTGGCCAGGTTTCGTTGTCGAGGACCGGCTGCTGGAGTGTGCCTCTTTCGCTCTTGTCTAGTTTTACTCCAATGGCTCCTTGCCGCAGATGACCTAGAAACATTCACCTAATCCTTTAGTCAAATGTTGTACATAGAAAAATACCTTCACAAATTAAGCCATCCCTTTCAGTAGGCTTAAAGAACTGGCAAGACATTTACACAGAATGGTATCTGAGAAGACCACTGAAGAGATTACCGAAAAGACATCACAAGGCCGCTTATGTGGCCGACTATTCTTGCTTTGATAGTTAGGGAACCAATAAAATGGAAGGAATTACATGAGATAATCCTGAAATAGCTTCAGTAGGGATGAAATAGGGTTTGTATTTCTACTATCATAAACTTCATATTTGTATGTAGTATATACTTAGGCTAAAAAGGGAAGCCCGTTCATCCAATATCAGGTAAATGGCGTTCTAGACTAGGTCCACTATCACGGCTGTATACAAAAGAATGTTCATTTGCACGTACATGTTTGTTTTCCACAAGTGTGACATACAGGAACGAGGAAATTTTCATCTACTCTTAATTCCTTACTCTCTGGGAATGTCGCTCAGCGCGCTTATGGCTCTGAGCTCCTCCACAGCTGCCAATGTTCTGGATGCAGACTTAGATACCTCCTCGCTGGCATCGCTTCCCAAAGGAAGCAACTCCGGTAACTTCATCCCAGATGCAACCCCGGAAGAGGTAACCACATCATAGATGATTTGAGCTCCCTTCACCGGATCATCAAGCTGAGCACCATTGAATGCAGCAAATTTTGCATCAGTGGTACTGTTGAGTTCACTATATGCAGGCAGCCGGGTGCTCTCGCTCGTACCAGAGATATTGGCGTCTGGGTTTAATAATTGGGTTCGGAAAAAGCCTGGTTCGACCAAGCAGTGGTTGATTCCAAAATGAGAAATCTCATCAGCTAATCCTAAAGCTAACCAGCGCAAGGCTGCCTTGGAGGCATTGTACAGGTTGCAGCCAGGCATGGGGTACCAGGCAGCCATGGAGCCAATAGTGATCAAGGTACCACTACCTTTCTCACGGAGATGTGGGAGAACTGCGCGGTAGAGATTTAAGGGACCAAGCGTGTTGGCCTGGAACTGACGTAAAGTGTCTTCGGGGGAAACCTCCTCCAGCATACCGGTCTGGATATATGCAGCATTGTTGACAACAATGTCGACAGTGCCGTGGATTGCAAGGATGTCTTTGATGTCGGCCTGAATCTCAGAAAGCGGCTTGTTGTGGTTGAGGTACACCGGTATCACCTTGTCTGATGAGACCAGTGAATTGAGACTTTCGGGGTCTCGTGAGGCAGCAAGAACAAGATCCCCTTGGCGGGCAGCAACGCGGGTAAGTTCGAGGCCAAAGCCAGAGGAAGCGCCGGTGATGAGCCAAATGCGAGACATTAAATTAGAGACAAGTAACTTATTAAATGTGTTGGTAGGAAACTGTGTAATCAACGAATGCTCGCTTTTAAGTACGGAGTCGCGTATTTCTGAGTAAGCCAGACCCGCGTGCAGGAGCACTCTGCTTTGTTTATATCGACCCCGCGTACTTTGTAGAGAAAACTAACAACACTTGGCTTTTTACTAGTAGTCAACCAGCCTGTGTAAATCATAGACAATTGAGATATTGACTAAATGAAAATACAAGAATACCCAGCGGCCCTGTGATGTCTTTTTGGTAGTCTTTTCAGTGGTCTTTTTGGATATCATATTGACGCAAATCCTCCTAAAGAACTGTGAATCCAGGTTATGTTCAAGAGTCCCAGATATGAAAATAAACAGTTGCTACGAAGGAAAACGCGTTTTCACCACATGTGGAAAACAGCAAATCCATTCACACATGGCTATTATTGAGTAAAAGCCACTTATTGCAGCACTTTCATTTCTATAAACCAAGGTAGTGGCTCTTCCTTACTTTCTCTTTTCTCTTCTATTTATCACATATCATGAACTTCACGAAGAGGAGATCGGTCGATGCGACATCTTGGAAGGTACCCTACCCCGAGAAAGGAGTATTTGATTATATGGCAAGGTGAAACAAGGGAGCAGGCTCAATGGGTCAAGGAAGCAGATGCGGGGGCCGCAGAAGAGAAAATAGCAGTGCTCGAGGCGTGTTGAGCGAGTCTCAATGACGACTAAAACCGCCTCTTTTCCTCTTTAAATTGCTCTCACCTTTTACCCGTCACGACATAACCTAGCTGAGAGAAGGTCGTCAAAGGTGTTAAGTCACCATGATTGAGGTATCCAGAGCATAAACTACGGTTCGTATGACAGTCGTATACCTTATTTATCTCTCACTTCCTCCAACTCAGCATTGCAGTCACCTCACAAACCTTCACACCCCCCTTCCATCACTAAACATCCATCTTTATTATTTCATCATCTGTGTTAGCAGCTCAGCATTAATGCAGCAGGGAATTCCTCAAACCCCACCATCTCAAGCAGAAAGCTATAGTCGACACGGCCTTCCAGACCAAGGCACGAATTTTCAGACGGCGACAACATTGACGAGGAGGTCCACCACCTCCAGGTCATGAACAAAGATTCCTAGTTCACTCTCAACGGTGAAGCTAAGGGGATGGAATATACTTTATCACGATAGGGTAGAATACGACTCAAGCGGACAGATCAACCACTTGCAGACCACTTGACGCATTCTTATTAAACATGGGAGGTTTCAATTATCATAGACGTTTTATTTCCCTTGATCGCATTGCAATATACCTAAGAGCTGGAAAATTTTGAGATACAAACAGTTAGCGAAGAGTCAATTGCATGGTAAATCTCACTATTAATTTCTTTTATAGTTAGACACTCAACCTGCCTTGCTCTCAATTAGATTAGGCACGCTCGGTCTAGCTATTTTTGGAATATATATATTTTCGATACAAACCCTACGGCGTAGTAATTCTAAGAATCGTTCAATAAAGAAGTGCTGGCAACATCAAATACAAAAGAACCTACTATTTCTAGGAAATCATTATTCTATTAAGCGTACTAATAATCATACACTGTCAGAACAACCGAACGAATTAATTCCGACTTTAATATCAGGCCCCGGGGAGCGTGTATGATAACGTAATCAATAGGCAGGGCACTGCCCAGGTAGGCTCCCATATAGGCTGACAGTACCGAAGAAATTCCACATTTTCAAAGTTGTCTACCTGCTCGACCCCATCAAACTATTTAAGTTTAAGATCCTCAAAACCACGCGCTCACTTTCATCTTCACATCTTCTTTCTGAGTCCGGCGCTTTGTATCTCGATCTGCAAGCCAACAGATTCTCCTCATCACGACGAGGTGTTTTCCTGTTTTACAAGTTCCAGTACTTGCTCGTGTCTTAAAGCCTATTCAAGGTTCTTGATTCTCGTTTTAGCATGTCTCAGCAGCCTCAGGGACAAGAAGTCGTAGGTTCTCCAAATATGTCGATGCGGGCTAAGGGGTTGACGCCTTACGAGGTCATGCGGTCTGCACCCGACAATCTCACCAACACCCAAGATGACCATTGCGAGATTACCCCTAAATACCCGGTATATTATTTTTTCTATGGAACATTGACAGCTCCAGCAACCCTTCAACGAATCATCGATCTGTCAGAGGAGCCAGTAATGCGGAAAGCCAAAGTCCTCGGATACACGCTTGCAAAGTGGGGCGATTACCCTGCTCTGATAGATGGAGAATCAGGACAGGAGGTTGATGGATATGCGTACCTTGCACAGACAAAGGAAGAAGCCCAGAAGCTTGCATATTATGAGACGAATGCTTATACGGAGGCACACTGCTTGATCTATTTTGATGAAGAACCCATCCAAGTATCAGGAAAGACATTCGTGTATGCAGGGGATGCAAAGGCCTTGTTAGAACAACGATTTGATCGTAAACTATGGCTGCATCAAACGGGTGGGAAATTGGTATGATCGTTAGAATATCTCGTATTTGCTACATTCCTCGATAATATAGTTACATTTCTCAAAAAGGAACACTTGGAGATAGTTATAAAAATACATAAACCAATGTGAAGTATTTAAAGGGAAATGAAACTTGGACGAGATTACTGCACATGCACAGCCAGGCTTTCCATACTGTAACGCCTCATAGCTGTTTAGTCTTGTTTGTGCTGTAAGTGGAAGTTCTTTGTCTTTGTTTCCCCCACCCCAATTCCTCATTTGCCATCTGGCCACGAAATACTCATCTACAAAGTAAACACCCCAGCATCCGCAAGTCTACATTTGTAGATTTGCACCTGCGAGGAATGACACTCAGAATCATATCGAAGGCTTATGACAAACCAGCAAAATCTCCTTCTCCCATGGAGCATGCCATTCAACTTACTATTGGCGAAATCGAATACCTCTTGATTTACCACTATACGGTTTAGCCTTCTTGTGCACAATTGGAGAGCTCCCACTGACTTCTTTAGAATTTCCTGTATCTTGGAATAGAACTTTATGTTATGAAGAGAATATCTAGGGCTACTCAAAGAAAATTAAGATATTATTGTCAGAGCTAGCCTACTTTTTGACCGACCGAATGGTTGGCGGCTTATACTCCTGTAAGAAGAACGTAGGTAACTAGGTACACGGATTCCCGCACGTGTTGTAATTATTGCACCTCACCGTAACCATCGCTACTCCTCTAGAAATCTTTAACAGTCTTAGCATTCTTAGAGACATGGCGTAATAGCCTCCTGCATGGAGAACAGCCTCCTGCATGGACAGCAACCTCCTGCGCGAACAACAGCCTCCTGCATGAAAATCAGTCTCCTACATGAGCAATGGCCTCCCGCATGGCACTGGTCGCATATGAGAACCGTTCGACTTCTAACAAGATGTCAACCCTCCCCGAGTTAAGGTAAATTCAGCATGGTGGAAGATTTCTAAAAATTACCCTTCGATAGTACAAGTTCTCTTACGCTCAAAGAGCTTGTATCATATAGGCAGCTATTTAAAGTATACTGGCGCTCGACGAAAATAGAAGTTTTACGGAAGAAAATATGATCTGTTGCATTTCCAAATCACATTCCCATATACAGAGAACTGTGTGGCTCAAGCACGTTGTTAATGGGACCTAATATAATATAAGATGCATTTGCATTTGGATGGATGACATTAACCAATACTAAACCTGTAGATACAGCTATGGCTCCATCTGACGGGCCCATAAGCTGGCAGGATATTGGTTTGGCCAACTGCGTCGTCAAGCAACAACAGAGCGACAACTAGCGGTGAACAACAAAGAGGTGTCTTGGCAGGTGACTGAGCTGTACATGGCTCTTCGTTCATTTCTCGTCGTCGTATCGTATCATAGAATGATATAGAGGATATTTCGTATATATTCGGTCGTATCCGTCCAAATTCTACATTGCCTCTATTCAAGCTGGTCGACTATGGAGCCCCGTTTCTTTGGTCAAAGCGAGACGGGGGACTGGACGTCGCTGGGAGTAGATCCAGGTCTTCGTTTTATCCCTGAAACTTCTACGATGGATAATCCTTTGGCCTTTGAAATGGCACAGGATACAGCACTCCTCGACAGTATCTTCCGGTTGCCTGAATCTTTCGAAACCCAAAATGAAAGTTTGAGCTTCGACGAGCATACCAATTCCTACACAATGGACGTTGAGCCTATTTACGATCGCGATTTTTTCGAATCTAACCAGCCTCTATAGAGTGCTGGGTCGAACTTAATCCCGGTGGATGTAGGCGAATTGTGCGACTTTCCAATTACCGCTTCAGAGGCCCTGAGCTCATTGGCTACAAACACCAAGCAAGACTTAGGGTCTTCTAAGAGAGGTTCAAAATTGGAATGGCGATTTGAAGAAGCAGAAATGCCTTCAATCGGTGTGATGGATATCTCGTTAGACGGACTGTATCACTGTAAGTGGGAGGGGTGTCGCAATCGGAAGGGGTTCCAGCAGAAAGGGCTTTTTCGGTAAGACTTCCAGAACCAGTATGGACTGGCGCATCTAATTTATTTCAGAAAACACTTGCGACGGCATTGGAAACCGGTCAAGTGTCCCGTATGCCATTACACTGCACCAGAGCAAGGGGATATGCGCCGACACGTCGAGCATACCCACATATTATGGGCTAGACGACGCTGGAAAGCGAAAGGGCGGTTTTCTTGTCAGATGTGTGATCGCCAATATACACGAAAGGATAATCTTCAACGACACTGCAGGAAGAAACATGCGGTAGAATGAGCAAACTTAAATGTGATTGTGATTGTCCTGACTAGTTGCCGTGTATATTTCAACCTCGCTATCATAGCTGCTACCCTTGCCCACTTAGTTGTACTACTTAGCGGAATGATTACGATAAGCCTTTTCCGGATAGATCTCGTGGAGATTATATAGCCCAAAGACTACATTGGCAAGCTGGACCTTGGAGTAGAGCCTGTAGTAGAGTACGAAAATCTTATATGCTACTTACACGTCAACGCATCAATATCAACCTCTCAGTTTCCCCATCCTAGCTTGAGGAGCAATCGCATGTTAGCGTATGTAGACAGTCTACGTCTAACTTTGTCTTGCTCTCTATGATCTATAGCTCGAGCTGCTCAGCTTCTTTCTACTGGTCTTACTTTCTACACAGCGCCGCTAGATGAACATGCTGTGAATCATCACATAAGTACCTAGATAGACCTCGGGATCGTTGAATGTTTCACTTCCGCCGCCTGACGCTTCCCCCAATCCCAATCACAGCCACGCCAAACCAACTGTCCTTTTATTTCCCTCGCCTTCTGCTTAAACTTCCATCAAAATCTGTTTCATATCCCCCCACGATGTATTTTGGCACGAACTACACCTTGATAGATACGCCGCCATCGTCTGAATCAATATCTTCAACTAGCTCCTCGCTCTCACCCTCGGTGGTATCCAGAATATCTGCAACAAACTCCCGATTCTTGCAGATCTTGCCTTGCACCTCAAATAGATTGAAACTATCTGATGGCCGAATTTCAGTGACACAAGTTCTAGAGTCTGGGTGCCATTGACTCGCCTGTGTGCGCCGCAAGACTTGGTCAGTGATCTGGTCACGAACAGCTTGGGTTATCTTGCTCATAATTTGTTTTTGCTCTCGAGCCGCCGTGCTATGCTTGGTAAATTCCTTCACGAGTGGAGGACTCCATCTTGTCCAGACTTTAAAGTGCGATGAAGGGACCACCATGCGCGCTGGATGATGCCTGAAGTACAGCTCACAGCACAGGCAAGCAGGTTTACTGCAAGCAACAAATTTATCGCCGTCCACAAAAGAAAGTTTTCTTCTGTAGAAGTGCTCCAAGATTTGAACTTCAGCATGGACCAGAGTGCCAGGAAGCGTGTATTGCTCCATAAAATGCTTGAAGATATTGGAAAATGAAACTCTATTCAAATAGAGGAGACCGTCCTCGACTGCTTTCTTTTCCTCTCCGTCCGTGCGGTACATGCGATTCAGGATCCCGCGAAGGTTTGTATGGGAGTCGCGCACTGGTGATGGCACACTTGGCAATGAATCGGCACCACGAACGTTATAAGCTTCCAATAGATGTTCCAAATGGCAGGAGTCGGCGACAAGCTCTTTCGGCGCCCGTATGTGATGAGCCAGCCTCAATATATGATGCCGAGCCAATGCAAAACATGACCGCATGCCTGCAGGGCCTGATATGCTCTCTTCTTGCAAGGCTTCAGTCATAAGCTTGCCAACATAGACCGAGGCGCGGTGGTCATAAGCAAATTTGCAAAGTTCAATTCGGTCAACAAAATTCATTGCCATTCGTAGCCAGTCGATGATTTGCTCGGCTAGAGGTTCTTCAGCTGGAGATATTAGGTGATATAATATGGAATGGCCATGCTTACCGGTCCCTGAGGTCTTTTCCTGCAGTCTTGAAATGCACCTTGCTGCCTCCCTCTGGAAATTTTTATGCTCTAATGTGATGCGACGAGTCGCAAAATCCGTGCAAAGCTGAGTCAAATCTGACTCTGTGGCTGCCAGATCTGAGGTTGGCAGGCTGTTCGCGCCGCGCAAGACACCAAGAGCTTTGTTCAGGAACGTAATTATTTTGTCCGATTTCTTATTTGAAGCAACCCAAAAACAGTAGCCAGTTTGACAGTTTTCCAAGCCTATCGCAGTGCAGGAGTCCCCTCCTTTCTCAAAATCACACACATAAGCAAGGTTCCGCAAGAACCTACGTCTTGTTTCCATACGAGCATCGGAGTTCGTGGGCTCGGGTGTATGTTCACCTCGAGTTTGACCAAGTGCCTTCAAAAGAAACAAAGGCTCGTAGAATCTGGCTAATAGTCGTCGGTAGGGATCAAGTCTTGGGATGACAACACCAATGGGGGCTATCTCCAACTCAGGTTTCTCATTCATATTGATGATTTCGATCGTAGAGTGTTGTATGTAACCCGCATAGAGGAGGTGAAATCACTTTCATATAATTATTAACAAAGGATCGCACTGGTATTACGCGTGGCAGTCTTGACGGAAACGAATCAAAACAGACAAAAATGCGGGAGGCCATCAATGCGGGAGGCCATCCATGCAGGAGGCCATCAATGCAGGAGGCCATCAATGCAGGAGGCCATCAATGCAGGAGGCCACCTATGTATGAGGCCACCTATGTATGAGGCCACCTATGTATGAGGCCACCTATGTATGAGGCCACCTATGAGAGAATAATTTGCTCGTAGACGCACTAGGAGAATCTACTCGCTAGTTTGGCTTCTTGGTATTGGTGCAACTCCTTGGACAAATGTACGACAACATCTCGACTCGTGCAGGTTTGCTGATCACCTCCCTCACTGCATTGGCCGTTACCGGTGGATGATTGTGGGGTCTTGGCGGTAGTAAACGAGTCGCGATGCCTGCAAATATGCGACACCCACCTAGCCAATATAAATAGAAAGGCGAAGAGCCCACGACCCCAGTGTATACGTCAGGATCAAAATCAGGAATCATTGTACTGTCTCTACACAATACAGTTTGAAAATGTCTGCGTCAATGTGCAACGAAAATAAAATGGGTATGTCCCTATACGTTCATCTTGCCGAACTGCCACGAATTCCTTCTCTCGCTTTACCTTACCAGGACTAAAGTATATGCTTGTAGATCAAAAACTGGCATATCATTTGGGCTTATTGAAACTTGACGACTTCAATGATGAGAGTGAAAAAGCCTCTCTCGCCCCCGTCTTCCCAGGGTCTGTACTGAGGCAACCCAAACTAGCTCCATCACAGTATGGTCTGCTTGGAGGCATCAAGAAGATCGAGACATCCCGTGACACAAGTACCGAGAGTGAACTCATCAAGCACGACCCAAGGCTTTTTTTCAACGTTTCCTCACCATCGAGCACTTTCATTTGTGGCTCCCAGGGCTCTGGAAAAAGTCATACTCTATCTTGCATACTAGAAGGCTGCTTGATAACCTCTGCGGCAGGCAGACTTTTACATCCTTTGACAGCTGTAGTCTTCCACTATGATACTTTCATCTGCGACGATGGCGGTTCACCCTGTGAGGCCGCATTCCTCGCATCCCACTCGAATATCAAAGTTCGGGTACTCTGTGCTCCGACCAATATCCGCACTATACGGGTAAGATAAAGTTACTCCGGTCTTGTTCATCTTTCTAATTGACCTGCAGCAAACCTATTCAGGATTCAACATCAAGGTTGAGCCTTTGCAGATAGATGAAGCTGACTTGAACACTAAACGTATGCTGGATCTTATGGCAGTGGGTCAAGGCCAAGGGCCCATTCCGCTGTATATGCATACTGTTCAGCGGATATTGCGAGAAATGCGCATTTTACAGCAGAATACGGGATCCCAGTTCGACTACTGGAACTTCAAGAAAAGAATACTAGGTTCTGGTCTTCTTCAAGGACAACTTGAACCTTTGATGCAACGACTAGATACGCTTGAGAGTTTCATGCCCCCAAAGCAGACGCCCACGAATAAACAAGCAAATAAAAAGAAGGCAAGCTTCCGAGAGGCAGGCTCCAACTGGACACCGAAGGTAATATACTGGCACCGCATTATATTCCCAAGTTACCTTGCGTGTCTAATAAGCAGTATAGGCCTCACAATTGACAATTGTTGACCTCTCCTGTCCATGCATCTCTTCCGATACTGCTTGCTCCCTTTTCAACATCTGTTTTGGAATCTTCATGGAGCAGGACACGAAAGTTGGCAGGATAGTGGCCCTTGATGAGGCTCATAAGGTCTGCAGTCCACACGTACTTGGCCATGATCGCTGCTGATAAATCCTAGTATATGAAAGATTCGATCGAAGCTCGAGGTTTCACGGATACCCTTCTCTCTACTGTTCGGTTACAGCGCCACCTCGGGGCCCGTATCCTTATTTCGACACAGGAGCCAACAATTTCTAGTGACCTTCTCAGTCTGTGCTCGGTCACTATTGTTCACAGATTTTCATCACCTGCATGGGTGCGCGCACTACAGGCACACGTGGCCGCGGCCGCTTTGGGCGTACAATTAGATCGGGAGGGGCCGGACTATGACGATGACCATTCGGAAAACCCTAGGATTTCTAAAAAGTTCGCATTGTTTCATCAAATTGTTCATCTTCGAGTGGGGGAGGCCTTATTATTTTCTCCGAGTGCTATTTCGGGTGGTGCTTCAGAAGGCTCGCAGGCGCTACGGACCTTAGGCTCGGGGTACATGGTAATCAAGGTTAGAGACAGGCTGACGAAGGATGGTGGGAAGAGCGTTTTGGCTCAGTGAACACTGTTGTGATCACCTGCTGTGACCCTGTTGGTCACACTGCTAGCAGATAGCTTCTTTTGCTCTCCCTCCTTCTTTTCCCCGAATCAATCAAAAGTTTTCAAGAAAGCTACGCAACCACTTTAGCACTATAAACGAGCACACTCCTTCATGAAGGTTTCGGACTGGTAGCTGCAGCAATGGCGGCTAAGTCTAGGGTCGGGAGCGAGAGCGAAAGCGGGAGCGAAAGCGGGAGCGAAAACATGGTAAGGTCTAACTGTTGTAAGCGCCCTTAGGTGTGGCGGTAGTGCCGAAGACCAAGTGAGGGTACTTTCCGGCATTACTTGCCCAGCATCTAGCATCAACGTCATTATGGGCGTCTCAAGAGCCATACATACGATAAGCCCTGAAGGTTGGCTATGCTGACTAACTCTTCGCTCCCTCATACTCGGGGACTTAGATGCTCCCTACGGACATGAGTCCCTCAGAACCGTATTTTTGGGCCATGAGTGCCATTGAAGACCTTACGCATGAACGTAGATTATTGATTGTTATGTACTGAAGGTCCTAAATTGATTTACTGATTGGACTTCGTTTACCTGAAGTAATCAGGGGTTTTCTGATATTTTTCTTATTTTAGGAGTAGCACATGCAACAAGTGTGAAGAAACGAAACAAAAAGGCGAGAAGAAAGGTGATGTCGAGTGAAAAGACAAAAAGCATAGCAGCAAACGTTTTGATCATCGCCAACGAGATTCCCCCCGTTATCCCTCATTGCGAACGGAGCTCGCAAAGGTGAGCTCACACAGGGCATGGGTTTGATGCACCCGCTAATAATTAATTAGACTCATCACTTAATATCTAAATCCACAACACGAAAATACATACCGCACCTTCGAGGCTTATCGTCTTCTTTAACCCAGCCTTTTGGCGCACTGTACCAGGTTCCAGAATCACCATTCCTATTAGTTCATTAGTAAACTTTAACACAGATCGGCTGTCATATCAAACTTACTGATACTTGCAGTACGAGGTGAAGGTAGCACCCAGAAGAGACGTGCCGTTGGTGGGGCTCGAGTTGCAAGGATACTTGTAGTAGGGGTAAGGGTACTTGACCTCACAAACATTATTGTCACCGTATCCATCGTGATTATCGTGTTCATGGTGATCTTTGTAGCCCTTGCCATCACCTCTGTATCTCTCCACGAGGGAATCAGAGTTCGAATCCGCAACCGGTGTTGCAAGGGCCAAATCAGTAGCTAGGGGAAGAAGCACAGCAAGAACATAGAATGGCGACTTCATATCGAAGGAGAATTTGACAATAGAGCTTGAAATTAGATAAACAAGGTAGAAAGGTAGCCGATGTGAATATTTTGAAGATAGCAGATATTGAGACTGTTGCCGTCTTCACAAATTGAACTCAGATGAATCTTCACTCGCTTTATAGACAAGACGTAGTGGCAAGGCCTGTGGCCTAATGATAGCTCTGGCCATAAGACCTTGTCTAACCGACACTAGTACCAAGAACCGAGATATAAAGTAAGGATCATCACTGCTGCTTCCGACACGAATATAACGTCTAGGCCGACGTAAATTGCCATTCATTGGTGTTAAAGCCGACTGTAGAAATGATCTGGGTCCTTGGCACGGAGACTTCGTTTACCAACCCCATACTCTAGTCCAATGTTTGTTGCGTTCTGGCTGATCTTATTTGTAGTCATGACATCAATCTTGGGAAAGCGTTGAGAAAACTGGGACCCTAAAATCTGAACACATATCTAGATCGATCAGAAGATCTTTCTGCTGCCGATTGGTTGGAATGAGATCATCTGTCGTTGCCAAGACAGAGATTGGCTTTATGTCAGATAAGAATAGAGTTGGGCCCGAACTACAGTCTGCTGGGGCCAGGCCCCACTGCAGAAGCTTTGCCGCATCCTCCTTGATATGTATCCTATTTATATCCGTCCATCCCCCTATCATGATGATGTATAGATTGCCAAGAACGCTTTCGTTCCAAATCTTGCAATGCCAGGTTGGAAGGGAATACTATTGTTTTCAAAAAAAAAATAAAAATAAAAATAAACAAACCAGAACAACACTGAGGATTCGCTAGTGGTCACCTACCCAACTACTAACTCACCGGCATGTGGCAATATATGGCTAATAGACCTGGGGTGACAAGGGTGAGTGCGCTATAGAATGGGTGGGAAGCTGGGTGAGAATCACTAAAGGTGCACGACTATTATTGCCTTAGCCCCTTCAGCTGAACAACGATAAACTATGATTGGATCATGCTACTGGCCAGATCTCCAATGAAAAGAGTCAATTTAACTAGAATACTAAGCATGGGAGAGAAAAGAAGAAAGAAAAATACCGATCTCACAGTGCGGTCTTTTCTCTTCCTATATACAAACGCCCGAGTCAGAGTAGCAGCAATTAGATGCTTTCCTTAAAAGCAGTACATACGTACCTGTTCCAATTATCTAGCAAGATAATCTCTTCAGGATCTTTGCTGATCAAACCGGAAACGAGCGGCTAGAGTCCTGAGAGTTGTATCTCAAAGGAACCCAAGTAAGTAGGCCTAACCTACGACATCTCTCATAGTCAAATCGTATGCAGAAGGTGACTGACATTGAATTTATTGAAGGCCGGAGAGCGTTTGAAGCGATTGGATTTAATGAATACCATGCAATTAGAACACAATTTAACTTGAGGAACAAAGTATGTATGCAAATAATCCTTCATCTCTGTCCGCCACTTCCTCAACTGTCACCAGTCATCCTTATCGTAGAACCCGTAGATGAGGACCAGTCAGTTCCGCAACCAGGATATCATGGCTGTGGCGATTTTCCTCCTAAAAAAGAGGATCCATTTGGTCGATCAGTCTTAGGGGAGATAGACTTCCGTCTCGACCGGGTCGCTGACCTCCTGGGCACGACAATGCTAGTTATCATCCGACTAGCTTCATGCTCTGCTGCCATAAAAAGCTTCTGTGAGCTCCTCAGTTGGATAAGGTGGGATAAAGGATCACGATCGCCATCTTTAACCAGTGAGATGCAAGGGAACACGGTGAGAACGTTCACATCTCGAGCACCCTGATCCTGCCTATCTGGAAGCGCACTGTCACCGGGGAAGTGGAAAGGCTTATAGTCGTCAATCTCGAAATCAACTAGCTCAAAATCTGTTTCATATCTCTGTTGAGCACGTTGGATTGGAAGCCAAAATTCAGCCGCTTTTTGGACAATCTTCTCCATATTTATGCGAATCGAATCACGTTGGGTCTCTGAGAGCAATTCCCACAAGTATGACGACACATTGCGGACCACCGTCTGAATCCTTGTCTGGCGATTTCTTTCTTCAGCGTTCTGGTCAACCGAGAGTAGAACACGTCGGCAGAAACTTTCCTTCTCGGTATTATTTTCGGCAAGGTGACTGAGGGCTCCCTGGATTTCAGAATCATCCGGCAAAAGGTAATTAGGCTGGAAAATGTATTTGCAAAGCTCCCTCGATAGGATAGCCATTGTCATAGCTAGACGCATTCCTTTAGCTTCGAGAGAGTTTGATGGTACAAGGGGGATAGCATTTTCTTTTCGAAGCTTGTCCCAGATCAATTTGTCCTTTTGATCGAAAGATGAGTGGATATGGTCATAATTCGGGTTCAGAGGCAGGCATACCTTCAAGACTTCCTCATCAAGGTCCTCTCTCAAAATGGCGAATACCTCGCTCGAAGCAAAGACCCATAGTTCTGAGAAGTTGACCGTTCTAGGTGAGATCAATTAGCGTAAAAACTATGCCAAATGCCCACACGTAGCTCACGTTAAACTTTCGTCCAGCTCTAATTCCTGAACAGTGAAGCTTTCTAGGCTGTGGAGTCGGCCTTGGCTCGCTTGTAGTGCTTGACCCAATGAGGCTTTTTCAGCTTCCAGATCTTCTATCTTCTTCTGCACTGATGAAAGCATTGTTTTGAGACTTGATCCAGCGGACTTCATCTTGTCAATGGTCTTGTCTTTCTCTTTCAAATTCTGTTGGAGTGTGCTGATGTCCTTCGCTGATTGAGAAACTTTGTCGACTTCCAAAGAATATGACGACTTGATGCTGTCTATTTGCTGGCGGAGGCCTTGTACTTCTTTGGAGTATTCGGAAAGGCGTTTGTCTTTCTGGTTAACTGATGCACAAAGTGACTCGACGCGAGCAAGGGCGTCTTTTTGCTTTGCCTTTTCGCTCTCGTGAGCAGCAAACATTTCCTCGATAGCGACCCGATTTCTCTCCTTCAACTCGAGTAATTGATCTTCGGTTTTCTTCAGCTCTTCGTCTCTAGCGTGGATTTGTTCACGCTGGTGGAGGATTTCTTCAAGCATGGTGGACACGGTTTGGGATTCAGGACTTGAAGCTAGCATATTAACTAGGTTTAGAAACTTTCTCAGGCCATCGCTGTCAACTGATGAAGATGCAACACATTGGCTTGCATTTGAAGGTCTTTGGGTGTAGGAAGACATGATCAGAAGCCTATATTGAGCTTAATAGTGAGAGGACTGCCAATTCGAGGAAGTAGAGTTTTACTGGTCTAATAATGGGAATAACAAGGGATTCTGACACATTTATAGTTCTCTGTGCCAGAAGGCGTACTAGGAAAATAACAGGGCCGATTGTTACAGCTTTGCCCAAATTCCGAACGTATAGAACATGCGAACGGAGGTCCAACAAGAATACGAAGTTTTATGAGCCTCATAATTCAGAGCGCAAGAGAAGTGATGCTGTTTTATGCGTGTAAAAGTAGGAAGACTTGCAACGTGTTCTCTCCTCTGTGGATTCAATGTACGCGAGTCATTGCATGCATATTGTGTACATCCATGTCTAGCTACATGTAGCAATATGGTCGCCTCGTTGGGGCGAGTGCATCTCTTGGCGATCAGAAAATCAAGCGGTTCATTACCCATGCCTCGGTCAAGGGCTTGCAGCTTATGCGATTTTACTGCATTCTTGCGTCTCAAAATAAGAAAACAAATGTTCGTCCTTTGAGAA